TTATTCGTAAAAAAAAAAAAAAAGGTAATTTTATTGTCTTGACACGAGCTCACCTTCTTCTCCTCGGCCCAGCAGCAGGTGGAGACCACCAGGACCACCAAGACACCGAATGTAACAAAGCCATGTGACCAACCCACACAGCTGATAACACCTGGATCCACCTGCAGCTCCTTTTACACAGGCGCGCGCGCACACACCCACGCACACACAGATGGCCAGTGTCTCCTGCAGGAGCTCAGCGGATGAAGGACACCGTGAAGCGCAGCAGCTAATCGGCTTTATTGGGTTCAGTTGTGTCGGTGGTTTCACAGGAGCAGCAGGTGAACACTCCGACACCTTATACCCGGTTCTGACCCGGTTCTGACCGCTGACTGGCTCTGTTTTGGGGCTGGGGGAGAGGGCTTTAAACAAGACCGGTTCTGATCCAGAACTTCCCGGTGGTTTATGGATGTGACTGAACCTTGCTCCTCTGCTGTGAAGCTTTGTAATCCAGGATGTTGCCGGACTTCAGAACCAGAACCTAATCCCGTCTTTCTGGATCTGGACCTGATGAACTTTGTAAATAAAGTCAGTTTTTGCGTCTTTGCGCGCGGCGTCTTCCCAGCTGGAGAAGGACTGGATCCTCTGGACCAGCATGAGACCTTAGAATGAACACCGGAGTCCCGCCCGGTCTCGAGAGCCCGCTGTCCGCCGGGCTGTGGCTCGGACCGGGACGGAGCGACGGAGGAGCCGCGGCGGAGATGGCGGCTAACCTGAGCTCAGCGGGGGCCGGGGCGGGGCCCGGGGCTGGGGCGGGGGGCCACAACGTTCCCGCGCTGGTGTTCGGCGTGCTGCTGATCGTGGTGATCAGCTGCGGGAACCTGCTGGTGTGTCTGAGCGTGCTCACCGAGAGGGCCCTGAAGACCACCACCAACTACTTCATCGTGAGCCTGGCGGTGGCGGACCTGATGCTGGCGGTTCTGGTCCTGCCGCTCTTCGTTTACTCCGAGGTGAGGCTGACAGAACCAACAGAACCGGGCCCTCAGCCTGGGGGTCCACCACTCTGAGCCAGTTTATGCACAAATTAATTTACAATGCAATTTATTACCTAATAAACTTCAAAATAACTTCATAAAAAGTTGTATCAAACTCCGTCCTGCTAATAAAATAAATGTTGACAGGATAAAAAAGAACTATTAAAACTGATGAGTCAGCTGAGGTAGGCACACTGAAAGAAATGATTCTGGCTATGTCCATTTTAATTAATAAATTGTGTAAAATATATTCAATATACACTGTAAAAAATTAAATGTTGGATTTACTTAACCATGTTATGTGACCTGGTTCCACTTAACTGAGTTGAGTAAATTCAAAGCAACATACCAGTTTTTTAACCAAAGAACATGAACATTTTGCTTTGAATTTACTCACCTCAGTTAAGTGGAACCAGGTAACATAACATGGTTAAGTAAATCCAACATTTCATTTTTAGAGTGTAGTTGTGTTTTTGATTTTGAGGCAACAGTTTAATTAAATTTAAAATAAAAATGTTTGGAGTAAAATCCAGTCATTGTAGTTCAATAAAACAAACATTATGTTTATGTAATTATAAATAAAAAGAATACTGAGTGATTTCAAATTAACGTAATCGGGTAATTTTTATTTGAATAGCACTTCCTGTCAAAGTGCACTTTTCTTTCCTTTTTGAATAATGTGAACTACCAGCTACAAGACATTTGAGAAATGACAAAAAAGTTTCTTCCACTGATCATACATCAAAATGTAACTGGTTCTCCCATTGCTTCGACCAACTGCGTCAAGTACTGAGCTCCAACGTTTAAACTTTATTATTTTTTTTAAAAAGGAGCTCCAATTGTAAAGTAAAATAAATCAATACACACAAAATTTTAGTATGGATTACAAACGTTTACTGTTTTTGCTGGGAAAGGGAGTTGTAATCATTGCCTTCCTGCTACATAAGCAGACACAAAGCATTGTGGGAAATGTCGGTAAAATGTGGATCCCTGCTGGCTACTGAATATTGTCTTTTTCACTGTGTTTATTATAATTGAACAGAAGCCTTATGAGTCATTTAAATTGCTGCCAGCAAAAATAGTTTGCAAAGCTGACCTAGTAAAATGAGAACTAACTGAACTGTGACCCAAAGCGACAGTCAGGAAGGACGTATACCTTCCCAAATATAGTGTTTAGCTCAGGGCTATTCAACTAAACTGCTCCGGGGGCCACAGTTACTGCAGGTCAACAGATGAGGGGCCCAAACATCCAGCAATTAAAGTTATTATGTAAATAAACCAAGTATTACAAAGATCTGTTACCATTGAATTTGTTTATTTTGCTGCATTTAATCATGAATACAACATACAGAACCCCTATAAAGTAGTGATAATTACACATTATCAAAAACTAAAAGAACACATTATGCCTCCTGTTAGACACAAACAATATTTTGACATCTCTGACTCGCCAAATTTTTAAACCAAGTTTGTTTTCACTTTCATCATTTTATCTTCAACTGCTTATTTTAACTGTCTTGAGTGTTTATAGAAAAGGTTTTTACCAGCTTCTAGCCAAGATTCTGACATTTCTGTAGATACCAAACATGTCTATGTTGAACTAAAAGAGCTTAGAGTAATTAAAGTAGAAAACCAGGGGTGTGGGCTTAAGAGATGAATGAACCAATTGGCGGGACGAACTTTGCTCACTCGCGGGCCGGATGTGGCCCATGGGCCGCCAGTTGAATAGCCCTGGTTTAGCCGGTAGTGGAGCTGTTGAATGGATCACATCTGTTGTGAGCAAGGGCGTAACTTTAGGTCTAACATTGGGGGGGTTATGCTCTCTGTCCATTTATTTATTGAATAAATTACTTTTGTAAAA